ACCGAACAAAAATGTAGTTAAGGAGATGCTCATCACCTCTATCTTTAATCATGGGACAACATATACTTTGATTTTGATCATCAAGTTTCGTAAAATCAAGGCAGATAGATAAAAAGTGACCAATATAAAAGCAACTTGCAATACACAAACGAAGTCATAGACATACAATACCAGTTTCTTACACACCCATCATATCAAACGCATGGAATAGATTTTACATCCACTTATTTAAGGAGTTACCTTGGTTAAAACCGGGACTCTTATATTGTAGTCCGAAAAACTCACTCAAGCCCGGAAAACAACACATAAAAATAAGACATCTATCGAACGAATTACAATAAGCAAATACAAAAGATGTGTCTCGACTTATTAATAATTAAAGATCAATGCTCGAGACCAAGTATTGTATAAGAAAAAGTTAAGCAACATTTAAAATGTAATGTAAGTTTTTTTACCGCACATAAAGCTCATGTACCGGATTAAACATCGTGAAGGTGGTTGAAACCCTCCAACTGCTTGAGATTCTACCATGCTTTCTCCAAAACCTTTGCCTCGTAAACCTTCTTGGTCTCACCATCAGCCACCTCCACAGTGAGATGGTGCATTGTTTCTGCCACAAGTTATGTCTTCGAACCAAGGAGTCTTATATACTCCAGAGTCACGTTCTGTATGTAAGAGAGATAGTGTGATTATATGAATAAACCAAAAAAACCTCTATTATAGTTTAAAGCTGAAAGCATTCTCTTTATTTAATCAACACATGAGAGGTTATTAAATTGATTGTGTTTAAGGTTATTAAATTGAGAATATTACCACATCAAGCACCTCAATTTAGAATTAGTTTCCACCATCTCATATTTTTAACGTACCTGCCTATAATACCATAGATTATAAACAAAATATATATCATACTCAAGAAATCCAAACAATCAACGGTGTAATCTACGACTCAAGATCTATCATGATTAATCCAACAATTCATATTGCACCACACCACAATCCAGCAAATTAACTCACCACCGGGATATCATCGGATTCCCTATTGTGATGTCGTCGTCGAAATCGTTATCGAAATCGGGTAAGACACTAAATATGTTAAAGAGACTAAATCTGTTACTGCTTCCTACCTCCTCATTCTCCTCATTTCCCTATTTTCAAGAAGAACCATCCATCACATGATCTACCATCAACCATCAGTTAAAGGTTTTCATTAGAACAAAAAATCAACTCACATCCGATTCTCCATCATATGAGTTATCTCCATTACTAAGTAACAGACTGCTTCTTGCCTCCTCATTCTCCTCATTTCTCGAAGCATGCTATTTTCAAGTAGGAAGTAGGAACCATCCATCACATGATCAACAATGAATAAATGAAGAGAACAAAAAATTCACTCGCCATATCATCTGATTCCCTATATCCATATGTGATGTCGTCGTGGTCATCGAAATGGGTGAGGACACTAAATCTGTTAAACAACCAAATCTACCTACTAAACCTGTTACTGCTTCCTGCCTCCTCATCCTCCTCATTTCTCTAGTTTCAAGAAGAACCATCCATCACATGATCAACCATCAACCATCAGTTAAAGGTTTTCATTATCAGTTAAATGTTTTCATTAGAAAAAAAAATTAACTCACCACTGACATATCATCGGATTCCCCATCATATGAGCTATCTCCCGTTTCACATGTGTATCTGTAAACAAAGAGACACATGACAAGTAAACAAAGAGACAGGAAACACAAAGAACAAACCAAGCATGGATTAGACTTACATTTCGTTTTTCTTGCCCTTGCATTCCTTCCATTTATTTTGATACTTCCACATGGCCGTATCTTCTCCATTCGTATCTACTCCATGGATTAGGAGATCTTTCCATTCGAGAAAAGTCCACTTGTCATAATCATTTGAACAAGAGTCAGTTGAAGATATCAGTATCAGTAACACTGGAACTCCCAGACGCTTCAGTTTACTTAACCTCTCATGGTAATCAGCATCGCCTCCAATTAACAACACCACCATCTCATCCTCCGACGGGTTGGATTGTCTTCTCTTGCTTCTCTTGGAATGTCTTCTCCCTCTCATAGCCATGGATTGTATTCTCTCGGATTGTCTTCCCTGTCTTCTTATAATCTTATAATCTCTCTGATCAACCGCTTAAGGTCATTCTTGATGTATGAGTCGACTTTTTGTTTTACTGTCTCCTTTCGGTTTGTTTTCATGGAGGACTTCAAAGGCCATAACATCAGGGAGTATTTTTGAGGCTTTTTGAGGCTGAGGCCTGTAGGTTGTCGAAGTATTGATAGTGTTTAGGCATCCGATTTGGTTGTGGAACCACTGTTAACAAATCCACCGTTACGTTTTCAATACCAAGTGAAAACAAAGAATCAAGAATCTTGGGGAGTATCGTTTTTGGCTTCACACCGCACAGAATTTGTGCGTTCTCTCCATCATGATACGCTTTGACCTGAACCATCTTATCCCCTCTCTCTAATTGAGCCGATCTAACCTCTCCCTTGGGGTGCGGTCGGTCCGGTGGATCTGGTGACAGTGAAGCCTGAACGGTGATGTCCATGTTAATCCTCGCAGCAAATTCTGGATCCGAAGGAGAACTTAAGAGTAATTCCCACAACCAGTTTATGTTTTCGGAGTTTATCTCTGAGAGAGACCATACATTTGAAAAGACGGTATGCTCGACTCTGTTCCCTCAGCTTCAGCTCGTCGGCTACGAGTAAGATGAGATCCTCACACTCATTCGGCTCGTTTGGAGCGTTTCTGTGATGGAGGGAAAGAGAGGATTCATAACTCGTTCCTTCTTGAGGAGTGGAATCAAAAGGGTCACCAAAAATCCAATTCGTAACTCGTTCCTACAAAACCAACTCGTGCTTCAAAGCATCAAATACAATCAATTCATACATTTAGATTCGATCCATCTCGTTTTGATTAAAGAAGAACAAGCATGCGATAAGTTTCAAGCTAAGAAAATAATATAGATCCAATACCTAGACGATGATGAAGCCAAAACTCATACACCATGGCATATCGCTGTTAGAATCGATAGCTCCAATCTATCGCACAGCACCACGGGCTGAACTCTCTCTGATAAGCTTGCTAAATACCTCGAACATTTATCAACTATTTATATGTTCTTAATGTTGATGTTGATGTTGCTGCAATTACAGTCCATAACCAGACTTTGCTGCACATCTCGGTGTTGCAGTTTCTGATAATCCACAGCGTAAAAGCTTTACAGAGCTAGAGACAGACGAATGTCGAGTTACTGGAGAGCCAAGTAGAGTTTCTATCAATGCACTGGATCGCTCAATCTGGCATTGAAGATCATACACAAGCCTTTAACACCAACCAACTGATTCGTGATCACACAAATCAACTTCCAAGGAAGGTGGTGTGTACATAATTTTAACTCGTTGAGATTCTCAGAAGGTCTTTTGATCATCTAAGTGATGTTACTTGCCTCCTATTGCGGGAAGGAAGAAAGCATCTTCTTGCGCACTTTTTCCACTGTTGTTTACAAATAGTGCGGGCTAGGATTGTTCAAGTGTAATCATAATCTACATACACTTTATAAAATAATTTCTACGATTTTCTACGATTTCGAGAAGAGGTTGGGTGCTTGTAAACATCATCTATAACTTGTTGGTTTCAAGAGAAATTAGTAAAACACATTCTAGATATATGAATATATAGGTATGTGCAAGTTCAAGAGCAGCACAAAGAAAATCTCATAATCTCACCGTATCTTACCTAGGGTTTTCAATGATGACGGTTTAGTATTTATAAGATTCGTTAGGGTTTTTATTTTTTTAATGGTATTTTAGTCAAAACGAAATCGATGGCAAGAGTTGTAATTATAGATTTTATTAAGGGTATTTTCGGTAGATCAAGTCTTAAATTCATTCTGGAGACCACGTAAGATTTTCGATCTCACAATTATAAATATAGATGTACTCAATTCTATTGTATGATCCATATTATTCTGATAAGAGACGATTGAAGACTATTTAGTCTTTAGTTATTTGTTTTAGTTAAAATATTGAGATTGGGTTTATGAAAATAATGGTGAATGGCTTCCTAGCTTGTAGGACCATAATACTATTTTCCCATTTACTTGTTATTTCTATATAAATCAATGAAAACTAAAAAGAGATAGTCTTGAATCCTGACTACCCAAAAATACTTGTATTCTTGTTCTAAGTATTGTTCTTTTGGAACCTCTATCATTTGGTATCATGACAGAATTTACTTTTGATTCGGACAGCTTTGTGGTATCAAAAAATCGGTATCCTTCGTGAATCAACGATTATCAAGAACCATCGGCGAACGACTATTTTTGGGAACCAACAGTCACAAATCTTTTAACGTTTTTCTTTATAGCAAAGAAACATATTTTTTCCTCTTTCTTATTTTCTACCGTAATTCTTCACCCATTTTCATTATCTCTAGTTAAAAAAAATATATCAAAAAACTCAATAACAAGCAAAGCCTCATTTGTCTTCATGATGGAGAGGATAGATGATCGACATGTTCCTTCAACAGAGGTGTGTGTTGCCTTCAATTTGCAGGTGACAAAATTCAACCTCAAAAAGGTGTTCAACAACTCAAAACAATTTTTTCATATGGACGGTTCAAGTATTTGATAAGACAAGATTGAAATCTATTTACTCTTTAAATATTTGTTTTACCTAATTATTGAAATAGTGTTTATGCAAATAGTGGTGAATGGCTTGTTTATAGGACCATAATACAACGGTCTCATTTACCTT